AACTTTCTCTCATTTATTATCTTACTCCATTCGTATATCAAATAATTCAAACTCAAGATTTTTTATTTTTAACAAAAAAAAATTTATTATTAAATTATTTATTTTGTTGTCTCTTTTCTTTTTTTGATGTTATGAATTTGAAAATAGTTTTTTTTGTTTGATGGTAGGAGAAATGAAAATAAAAGTGAGTAACTGTTGGGGTTTACAATTAAAGCAATTGGGTTCTGCGGTCTGCCCTTACAATTATGCAGGGGATCCATTTCGTGCAATTTCTGGGCGACTTTGATATAAGAGCTGCCATCGAGAATGTGCTCCATTATCGCAGCTGGTTCAATTTGGCCGGGATGGTGCTTCAATTTATGGGTCAAGTGGTCTGTGAATTCGGGCTTCCCATTCATCACTTCAGCGAAAATTGCCGATAGAATCTTCGATAAGACAGCGAGTATGTTTGCCTCGTAGAGAACAATTGAGGCCAAACCGGACCCAACTGCAGTGCCGTTGACCAAAGCAAACCCTTCCTTTGGCCGCAATTCGAAGAACCCCGATTCGATTCCAGCTAGCCGGAAGGCTTCCTTGGCATTGAGGGTTTCTCCGTTGGGTCCTACCGACTTAGAATTTGGACGGCCCGTAAGCAATCCAGCTATGTAGGACAGGGGAACGAGATCGCCGGAGGCGGTGATTGTGCTGCAGAGTGGCAAGCATGGAGTGATGTTCTGGTTGAGGAACTTTGTGATTGCCTCTAAAATTTCAAATCGAATGCCAGAGTATCCCTGGAGCAGGGTGTTGATCTTGACCAGCATGGCTGCTCTGCTGGCTGAGTGAGGCAGCATATGTGGAAAAAAAAAAAAGAGATGGGTTTAACTGCTGACCGTTTGGGACTTAACGGTCAGCAGTGACGGCAACATGGACGGTGTTAGTGGAGGGACAACGAACAAAAAAAGGCAAGTAGAGGGACGACGTTTTGGCTCTTTGGAGAGTAGAGGGACGACAACGAACATGACCTTAGTATAGGGACAAGAATGAATAAAATATTAAAGTAGAGGGACGACAGTTGGCTTTAAACCCTCGGAGGGAGGTTGGTGGCATTGGGTAGACAAGGTTGGTGAGGCCACGTGATGAACGTAAATTTAGTCTTAATGGGTAGTTAACGAGGAATACCTACCATTAATCCTCATAGATACTACCGAAACCCAAGTGTGGCACCACATTTGTGTGAAGATGGTTAATGTATTAGTCCGAATGTCCAACCTTTTGAAAATATTAAGAATCCTATCACTCAGAATAAAATTTTTTTAATCCCTTAAAAAATTTCTCATTATTTAAAAACTTAATCCTATTTGAATCTTAAAAAGTTAAAAAAAAAAA